GTATTAAAACATTGCTGATAATAACTACCAAAATATAAATAAAAACTCAACACATATAGTGGATCGTGAGTTCTGATTTGTTTTATCTAATTTCTGGTGTCTTAGAAGGTGAGGTGTCTGTTGTGTTTAAAAGAACTTGGATACAACACCTCATGTAGAAAAAAGAGAAACTATCTGGATCATAGTACACTAGATAAGTTAATAAGATTTATTAAGATTTTTTTCTTTTCTGCTGCCTTTAATTTTATTTCTGACATATTATTTGTTGTGTATAGTATTTGTTCTGTTTTTAAATAAAAATGAATGAATTTATGCTTTAAAAAGTTGTTTTTAAGAACTAACTAATAAAAATGTGTCTCTAATATCATCAGCACCATCTCAAAACCACACAGGCACATTCACATCAATACTGTTTCCGTTTTTCTCCATTCACTTTCCTTTTTTCATTCTATCAAATGATCAATGATGAKTCTATGATCAAGAGAGATTAAAATAATATTCATATCAAATTTAGAGTTTATTTATGGACATCACAAACACACACATGCATTTTTCTTTATTCAACTTAAACAAGTCACGTCATTATAAACTAGTTCACACTTATTGTCCACTTGATGGTGCAGTAGAGCAAATGATGCATGACTATGATTCAACTCATGTGTCGACCAGTTGGATGGAAAGTTTCAAAGCATCATGAAGCTTCATCGCACCATCACTAGTCAGAATCAGGCAGGGAACAGGCAGGAGGCGAAGGTCGAGAGGCGGGCCGTTGGTCAAAAATGAGAGATCAGGCATGTACATGGATAAAGCACTGGCCGTCTACTGGGCGAACCGTTCAGTAATCTGGCAATGAGAGAGTGTGAGCATGGAGCTTAAATAGGGAAGAAAACAGGTGAAGCAGATGAGGCTGATTACAGAGGCACTGAATGAGGGGGTGAGGAATGAGCAGGTGAGCTGAGCATGAGTGACAGGAGAGCAGAAACAGAAGGAGCAGCTAAAAACATGACACTGACTTGTACTTTTCCCTAATATTTTTACTTTGAGTTAAATTAAAATAGTTCTTATTCTTTTATTTGTTTGTCTTTACTTTGTAGAACTCTCACTTCAGTCAGACATTGAAAATTTTATTTTATCTAAAACGTTTGTAAAAGACAATTTATATTTCTAATTATTGACTCTGACAGCAATAAAACATAAATATCTTTTTTATCATCATTGTAACTCTACTGTATCAAAATGAACTCAATTTTTGCAAAAGTTATTGATTTATTGCCATTTTTGTTTTTGCAAAGGTCAATTAACTGCCATTATTATGCTGAATTGGGAATCATTTGAAGTATATCCAATGGTAAGTTTTCATTAAATTTCTTTCATTGGTTTACAAGATATTTTGATAACATGTCAAACACAAAGACTCKAGAACAAATATAGCTCCTTCTACTATTTTGGTGGCAAGTGATAAAATATGAACCCATGTTAGAAGAGTTATGGTGGTGAGTGGTGAAAAAAGCCCCCCTCCCCAAGACAATTTCTGCTTATGTCCCACACAACAAAATGCAACAAAATTACACCAGTGTAGTCTCACTTTGTGTTGTCCAAATGCTTAATTATATTACAGTATAATTCCCCTTTTTACACTATGATTGTTGTTTCTTTTCATTTTCCTCTAGTTTTTTTTTTTTTTCTGTCGTGAGTGTGTTTATAATCAAGCAGCTCAAATTTTTTTWCTCTGCTACTTTTAGGAATTTTATCATACTGTGTGCCCAATAAATTTATCCCGGGATGAGATGAGTTCTCACTCTGTGGAATGACAGGTGCCCGTAGGCTGGTGGCGCATTACTCTGTGTGTGTGTGTGTGTGTGTGTGTGTGTGTGTGNGTGTGTGTGTGTGTGTGTGTGTGTGTGTGTGTGTGTGTGTGTGTGTGTGTGTGTGTGTGTGTGTGTTTCCACGCGTCACCAGTGGGCGCTTCTTCCTGCTCACATAGTAAGAGAGAGCAGAGAGCCCGGGGATGCGCGCAATGTGAGTGTATCCGCTCAGTGGCACCACTGTCCTCTCCGCTTCCAGGCAGCATCTTGTTTGTCCAGAAGCACGACGGAGCGATCTCGAGGAACACCCCCGGGCTCGTGCACACTTAGCGCATCAGCCGACCCCCACCCCACCGCCAAAACCAGACTGCAAATCTGCAAATGCACTTTTGATTGTTGGATTAAACGAGGCAGAGGTGACTATCAAACACCGAGGGAGGAGAATTAAGGACAGAGCGCAGCCGCTGCTGGAGCAAAGAGCACCTGCTGTTTTTCCCTTTGGCTTCGGAGAGGACAAGAGTTGCAGTTAGATTAAAAAAAATGTGTGTAAAACAACGCACCTAACGGATACTGGACTTATTAATGAAGCAGGTTAATGAAGAGGAAAAAAATCTGCACCTTAGGACCAGTAAGTAGGATCTTCACTGCATGTCTTTCAGCGTTGCATTTGTGCTAAGTTCACTTTTCATGGCGTAGCAACTTAACGTGAAGCAAAATAACATCAGTTAACAAAAGGGAAAATTGATAATGCATGTTTCCATCATGTTTGGATGTACATTTTTGGTTTGAGTGCGCGTGCCGGTCGCTGTCACACATGCGTGGTGCTGATGATTGCGTTATTTTTTTTCTTTTTTCAAATGGTTTGGAAGGTCCTTCTGGGATTTTTCACTGTTGAGGCTCATTTCCTTCATCTAGGACAAAGTCCATATGGTGCTGCTCTGCTCAGTCACACAGAGACTCAGCATCAGCACCATCCTCCTTCACACACACAAACTTGGTTCAATAAATGTAGCCTTAGACAAAAAAAAAAAAAAAATACTGTTAAACTGAATCCTCCTGTTTCTCCATTAATTTCTGTGAAGTCATGATARTGTAAATTTACAGGGCATAGCAATTACTCTAACAGCTCATCTCTGTTAATCTGGGAAAACCAAATATTTGCTCACAAGTATTCCACCTATTTTTTTTCCCTTTCCACCCAGACGGACGGAACAGTGAAAGGGGGAAAAAAACGCAGCCGACTGCATCTTCAAAGTATTCTCCTATTCAGCAGGGACTGCAATCTTTCTCCCCTCTATTCATGTTTATTTATAGACCCTTTGCACATATTTTGAGAATAACAAGCAGCAGCCAAATGAGAGGTGAAACATAATTTTAAAGCCATGCAGTGAGTTATATTMTCTAATGCAGCAATATCCATCCTGGCAGTGCAGGGATGAGTTTGGACTGTGGCACCATTTGCTTTCAAAAGCCCTTTTGATTGAACCAAAGAGGCAATTACATTCTACAGCAGGTTTCTTTTCTCTTCCTCAGAAACTGAATTGAATGGATTAAGAGAGGGGAAAATTATATGTAGTCCATAGGGATTCCCAAGTGCTGGACCATGGTTTGGTTTCTGATCCAAATTGTTACATTACATTTCAAGATTATATGTATGTATGCATGTACATTCATATTTACTGTATTTTATTTTAGGTAAAGCAGGTTTTCTACAATTTACAATAATTTGTACGAGTGGCACAACATTTTTCATATTTCCGCAGCTTATTATTATTATTATTATTATTATTATTATTATTGTTATTATTTAGGTTTTACAGCACCCAGTAAAGCTTTTCTGCAATTTGTTTTGAGCAGCACTGTTTTTCTTGCATTTACGTCAATTCCCAAATCTGGCCCGTGGGTTCTCTCTGGCAGCCCACAAAGAAAAGGAGGTGCAGGCCTTCAAAGACAGTAACTGTCAGAGGAAAACTGGCATGGCATCACTAAACGCGAATTTAAATATACATATTAAAAAAGAAACCTGAATTAAGTTTATGTAGGTGGATCTAATTAAATATCACTAATATGCTGTACATTTGTGAGTTCACACACACACACACATACACACACGCACACACACAGAAAATTATACACAAGGCTCACTTAAGTGTCCTTCTTTTTCATTGCTGACATGCAGTCATCGTGTGTTTTGCAGCCATATCTAGGATGGGGGGGTGTCTGAGGATGTGCATGGCTGATAAAAGGTCTGGGAAATGGATCGCAGTTCTCCTCTCTTTAAGGTGCACTTACTCCCCTGTCCTCGTGTTTGGCATCAGCTGAGGGATGTGCCCGTGTTTAACACTGAGCGGAGTCACTGGGGGCATCCTGCTGTCTTCCTGGGAATCAGTGATTTCTCGCGTGGAAGTGCACAGCTGGATATCCGTAYAGCATCCTGCCCAGATGTTGAGAGCTAGAGTGCTGTAATCAGATTTAACAAACAAAACAAAACAAAAAAAAAAGCCAGAGTTTGTCACTGTTTTCTGTTTGTAAAAAAGCCCGTTTTGAGGAGTGCTGTCATGCTTTTCACGTGAGTGAAATTTAGAGAGCTGAGCTCCTTTTAGTTATTGCTGCATGTTGCTTTTCCTGACCTCCAACAGCATTGTTTTTTTATGTGTCAGTAATGTGAAGTGCTTTCACTTCTCTAATGCTTAAAATAAAATGAGCAAAAACCATCATAGGAAGGAAATAATATACTAATATCTTTAATGATTCCTAACCTAACAGCTACTGAGACTAAGCTTTGGAGACAGCAACATGAAATCACTCTTTATTTGAAACGTTAATGCATTTTGTGTCATAGGATACAATACTTACTCACACAAGACCCTGAGTTAAAGTTATGGTCCAATCAATATCAAACAATTACTCCTTTGTTGTTCCTTTTCAACGAGTACTCCAATCTATGAAACCCTACAGGTCATTTACCTTTTACTACGACCCATAGGGACATATTAAGAACCAGTTGCAGCCAACAGAAGGGATCACTATATCACAACTAACCCGTATTTAATTCTTGCTAGTTTCTTACACTGTATGAATTTCCACAGTGGAGCAAACATCATTCACAAGTGTTTCTTTTTTTTATAAACCAATAATTATTATGAAAAAGGGGGGAAAGTTCAAGTTGTTACTTCACATGTGCTTTTATCATGAGTTTGTCACAAACGTGACCATTATTTTTTTCTCTCTTCTGAGTTATTTTTARTACCAAAGTGTCACCACATTTATTAAAGCCCTCTTCCTGATTAGATTAAGGCAATTATGCTGCWTGGTTGAGACTTAAAAATAGAGAGTTGAGACTAAAATACATTTTTACCACATGCCTGCAATATTGATTGATACGATGCAGTTGGTTGTCTGGGTAACACTTATTAAAATCCATTTTTAGGTGATGTTCTGTCATGGCTGATAATGTATACATATCAGCTGTGACATCAGTTAAAAAACCCAGCATATAGGTAAAAAGGCGGGAGTTTTTCCTCAGGCTAGGCTAATGGCTAGTCRAACAAWGGCCTGTTTTACATTGTTTMTCAGGATCATAAAGCAGTGTTTCTCAGAAAGGACTCTAGTTAGGGTGGTAGAATGTTAAATTAACCAAAATCAAAAAGTTATGTTTTTGTATGAGACCCTTTGTTTAGATGTTCATGGTACCTCAGGCATGTCCTGAGCCTGCTRGATGTGTAAGACTGTAGACCACAGAAATAACCAGACTAGCCTTTTCATGGATGCAACGTAGATGAACATAAAAATGGGTTACTTTTAATTTACAGGACCTTTATGGTTGGAAAACACAGCCAGTTGGTTAATATTTTTACTGAACTGTGACTATTGGAAACTTGTTGGTCATAAAAATTTGAAAGAAAACAAAAAACAGAGATTTTCAGTTGCACTCTCACTGAATTCTGTWTGTTTGCAATCTATTCTAGGCTTTGAACATTGTTGTACTTTGACAGCTGCTCTCACGTTTATGATTCCGTCTACTGGTGTACTCTTTAATAATGAAGAWAGGCAGATTTATACCAGCTTTTATACACCTGTCAAAAAGACAGCTGTGACAAGGTATCGCCTCTATTCATCCATCTGTAACCTTTCTTATGTCTGTGCCATAATGTGTRTACTCTTGTTTAATTATCATTAGAGTGAAYTTCATAMATAGACAGTTTTTGTGTCAAAATACAACCATAGAGCACTTTAGACTGGTTTGAGATGTCCACAACAAAACTGAGAAGGATTTGAGATAGGCTATAAACATCTGTGATAATGTGAAATATCTTAAGAACATTTGTCACACAAATTTTTTGATTATGTTAAAATGTATGCTAGTGAGAGCAGTGAAGACATTGACAACTCTGCTAGACTTTTGAGCCATTCAGGATACTTTCTTGAGAATGTCATTCACCAAAAGTTCATGGTCTGATGGGAAATTTCAATCTTTGTTTTTTGGCACAATTACATGGATTGTTCTGACACCCACTACACCACATAACCTTAAAGGAGACCAATTATGGGTCCTAGAAATTTTTATGGTATGGCTATCCAGACCATGTTCATTCAATTTAATGCACAAAATAATTCTCAGATAATAAAATTTCCCATTTTCTAGTTCTGCCTGCTCTGACTTCTGTTCAGAAGAGCTGTTTATGTTAATGAGCTCTGTTGGTAACGCCCTCCAAAAATCTGTTGACATTAACTCCACCCTCCAAAGCCAGCGTTTATGTTAGCATGGCTAATAACAGCAGAAGCTCTGTTGTACAACCATATGAGACCCATGCGTCAGATCCAGAGGCAGAGTCGTGGTCGCAGCTCTTTTTTTTCTCCTCCCCCTCCTGTGTCGGAGCTCTGTGCTCACTCTGCATGCTGTTACCAGGGCAGGTAATGGGAGCAGCAGCGGTCAAAATACCTCAGAAATTCGAACAAATAGGTTAAAGCTAAACAATAGAAGTACATGAGAAAACGTGTTCATAACGAAGAAAAATAAATTATTAAATTGTTTGTGCCCATGTCGAACCCTGGTCTCCCACTCTCTGGTCCAACACTCTACGCATTGCCCTATTGGAGGCTTGTTRTGAAATGATCTGCACRTTACMYAACAACAACCGTGACGGCTTTTTATACTGAGGAGTTGGGGCCTCACCCGGGGGTTGCTAGGTAAGGGGCTGAACACAGGTTCTGGTGGGTTGTCGTACGGCTTGTGACATCACAAAATGTAGGACGTATAAAACTTGTCATTAATATACATTAAAAATAAATTTACTTACAGTAAATATGCCTCTGTTGCATTTGTTTTGGTCCTAGGACTGTTTTTTTAAGAAGTACATACCCAAAGTTGAGTAAAAAAAACCTTTAAAAAGTGAATTTTGCATAATAGGTCCCCTTTAAAGTAGGATCTAAGATTGCAAAACCTTGAATAAACAAATGGGTTTGTTCTTCTTTTTATGTTGGGCATTTTGCTGTGGCACAATCTGAGAAGCATTACCAATAATTTAGAATTTATTTGTTGATCACCTGGCTCATGAGAAAGGTAGGAGCTGATTGTGGATTCCTTGTTTACAGRGCAGCTGCGTATTCAGATTGTGTCCAGCCCTC